TCTTAATTACAATGTGATTCCTACATCATATCATACACAAATATGTTGCTAATTTATAATTTGAAAGCAAGAAAATGGTATTCAAACAGCTCTCGCGACTTTGCTTCGCCAGCTGTTCCAAGACGATCGTTCACAGCCCTGGCGAGCCTTATCATACTTTTAATACTACGAAATTCCCGATCGCCCAGCAAAACCTTTCGCCAGCACTGACAAAAGGTTTTAAAAGTACGGGCCTATGAACTGACCCCACGCCACGCTCCCATCTTCGACCCCACGCATCCGGGCCGCAGATGCCTTTGACCTCGCCTCATTTCCTGTGTCGAGGCGCTCCATCAAGGGCGACCCGAGATAGGCGCAGGGCCGGGCTGCTCCTCGTGCTGCGCGGACCTCGGCTCACAGGGGAGGTGGGGGGGGGGGGGGAGAGTGAGAGAGAGGGAGGGAGGGAGGGAGGGAGGGATGGAGGGAGGAGAGGGAGAGGGAGAGTGGCGTGTGAGAGAGTGGGGAGAGAGAGAGAGATAGAGAGAGTGTGTGTGAGAGTGCAAAAGAGAGAGAGAGAGAAGAGACGAAAAGACAAGAAGATACATGGATAGAGAAAGCAGAAGACAGATAAAAAGAGAGAGAGAGAGAGAGTGATAGAGAGTAAGAGACAGACAGAGAGAGAGCACCAGCCGGGCACCGCACTGACCAGTCTCGTTTCATGTTCTATCTTCTTGTGTGTTGAAGTAACATTATTCTGCCTCACCAATGTTAATATAGAGGCTTCATCACCTTCTATGCTCCCTCAATCTCTCCCTCTCTTAGTATGCTTCTCTCTCTCTCTGTCTCCATAAATTACTGCTTCTTTTTCCCGTTTTTTACTATGTACTTTTTATTCCAAATTCTCTTTGTTTGTGTTATACATTTCTTGACATAATTTGAACATAGATATCAAACTCTACAACCAGCGTTTCCTAATTAAACTAAATCAAAAACATAATGCCATTTATTTCACATATTTTAAAATCAACACAATAAAAAATATTGCTTCGACACATCCACATTATAAGGAATTTTCACTGTTCCTTCTCATCAAAATTCTTGTATACATGTGATACAACAAAATAATGATGATTTATGGTCCTCGGCTAAGCTTTGATCCGTTAATCGTTCAAGATTACGGTCATTAATCAATTTGCAAAATAGTCTGTAACAGTTCCATTTTTTTTAGATCTCTCAGAAATGAAAGGATTTTTTTTTTTTTTTTGTTTAATAAATGACTTCATCTAATGTGTTTTTATGGTTATATATAAGATAAGGAAATATGTTCTTTATGTTTTTTTTATTTTATATTTTTATTATTATATTTTATATTTTTTATTTATGTTATATTCATTAATATATTTTTATTATTATTTTATTATATTTTATTATATATATATATTTTTAATTATTCAATTTATTTATTTTATTATACTTATATATATTATATATATATATATATATATATATATATATATATATATATATATATATATATATATTATATAATATATGATATATATATATATTTTTTTTCATTCTATTTATATTTTATTATTATATTTTATTATTATTTATTATTATATTTTATATTTCATATTTATATTATATCTATTATTATATTTTATATTTACATTATATTTTTATGTTTATGTCTCTCTCTGTCTACTTCTATTCGTACTAATCCGCACTCATTCGCTTTTTTTTCCTAATTCTGGTTTCATTATTTTCAAAAGTAGATATCCTATTAAAAAAAATCGTCATTTTCATATTCTTTATAGTTCATTATTTTCAAAAGTAGATATGCTATAAAGAAAAATTTTCACTTTCATATTCTTTAAAGATGTTTCGAAAAGTAATAACTTAATTACTATATCCATAATAACACCGGTTTAATATTCACGTTTTGTCCTAATCATCATCTTAATCACCATCATGATCATCATTAATCCCAGTATTTTCATAGTCAGTGATATAATAATCATCATCACCAACACTCCTTTTATTAAAGATAAAATAATCATTACCATCATATTTCATTTCATTTATTTATTATCGAGGGCCTTAAAACCCGATGGGATATTAGTGGCAAATTAATTACGGTAATTATTTGATGATAATGATAATCCTTTGTAATGGACTTAATTAATTCCACCATGTTGCATTAACTAAACCATCAGCAAGATCTCAAGTGCAGTTTCGCATCAAAATATTAAACAAACAAACAAGAAAACAAAAAGATTAATTAGTTATAGTGAATATCATCTGAAACCGTTATCAAAAAAAATAAACAAATAAATAAATAAATAAATAATAAATGAAATAATAATAATAATTATAAAATGAATAAATAAATAAATAAATAAAAATCTGAGGCTGTCTCAGAAGTACTGGTAATGAAACAAATAACTGACTAACAAAATATACAACCAAACCTTACACAAACACACATAATGTAAACACTATTTCCCTGAGAGCAAAT